TGGGAGAGCAGGCACAGGAGAGAAGGGGTGAGGGGGACAGGTGGCAGCGGGCAAGAGGCAGGGGTCAAGCTGCTTGACTCCCCCACACCTGCCCTCCCACTGCCTCCCATACTACTTGCCCCTCTACTGTCTCTTCACCATCTGCACCTCCACTTTCTCCCTTATCACCTGCCCCCCTGCTACTGCTTTCTCCATGGCAGCAGTGCAGGAGGCAGGGAACAAATTTAAGATGACCCTTCAACATGGAAAATTATAACAAAGTTATACATATTTATACATTTTACTTCTATTGAACTGAATTATTGGGGTATCATCTTAAATTCAGGGTTGACTTGGATTTGAGTATATGGTGTAAATATTATATATATATTTATAAATTATTTATACGTGTATAGATATAAATGAACAATATATATAATAACAATACATACATTTGATAAAGAGATGGAGACATGGAGAAGGCGATGAAAAACAACATGGAGATAGATCTATGTAAATCAACAATACAACTTTTACTGTTTGAATTTATTTGCAACATATACTGGCAAAACTGACATTAAAAAAGGAGACTAAAGAGAGTTTAAATATGAAAAGTTAAAACTTGCTAAATTTGTTAGCAAAACTCTTAAAGCATAGAAGAATTCTAGCAGTATGCTTTTCTACTATGAATAAATTCATTTTCTGAATGATTTTAAATAGTCCCTCATAAATCATGCCAAAACTAAGCCACAGACAAGTTTAAGCTTAATCATGGTTCAGCTATACCAAAATTGAGGGCACCCAACTGGGCAATTAGATCCTTTTCAGAGAATGATTAATTCTCAGACCGATGACTTACCCAATGCCCCATACTCAGATTAGGATTGAACAGAGCATAAAATCAACCATAAACAGAGGTAACACCAAACACGTTCTTTCTTTCCATTAGCTAGTACAGGAAAATCATTCAGGAATTCAGCACCACCATTGCAACACTATATATTAAATATAGTTCCAGTTCCAATCAAGCTATATTTTGAAATAATTGACTCCTATATTAACATCCTACTCAACCCAAGCTTGGTTTTCCAAGCATTAATTCTCCAGTACAGATGCCTTACCAGTTTCTTTTAACAGATACAATTCTTGACATATTTATTGCACATATATTTCATTTCCCTAACTCTGTCTTGCCCCTTTCAACGATTTATTTTTGTTATTTATAAATTTCCTCAATTTTTCTCTTCTTGTCAGAACATTCACTTTTCTTTTCCCTCCTCTTGGTTTTCCTGCTCATTCACTCGTGTACCCTCTCTCTCTCTCTCTCTCTCTCTCTCCCCTTCTGTCTCTGCCCTGCACCCAACTACCTTCTTTGTCCTCAGTTTTTCCACTTTATTCTTTGAAATCATTCTATTCTTTATCTCCCTTCTGTAGACAATACTTTGAACTCTTTTGTTTCTTACTGCCCTATTATTTGTCTCCATTACTCCACTCCCTTTACTGCTCCCTTCCCAGATTCTACCTCTAATTATTTGAGAATATATATTAGTCACAGGGCAGCATTTAGGCACCTCATAGTCACTTGCAAATGCATTCCACACCACCACTATGAGTTAGGAAAATATTATCCCCATTTTATGGTTGAGGCACAGGGAGATCCATTAGCTTGCCGAAATAAATACAGGAAGTCTGTAGCACAGGTGGAAAATAAATTCAAAACACCTAATTCCCACAATCCATTGTCCTAACTTCAAAGGTATCTATTTTTCCCCTCATCCCATACCAAGGAAAGGAATAGTCAATTCCTTTCCCCATATAAGAAGGACAATAGAGAGGGAAACAGGAATTCTCCTTCAGCCCCCCTGGACTTAGAAAAAAAGGCAATACATTCAAACGTGAAGCAGAACTGAAGGGGAGAGAGCAAGGGAAGAGAGATGAGATTTTTATACCCAGTGCCATCAGGAGATCAACAAGGAATTAGTAGAGTCTTCTCGCCTTCCCCTTCTTACTCCATGATATTCCCTTCAGTCTTTCTCTCTACTGCCTGAAAAGGTCAGTTTGTATGACTTCCTCTCAAGTAATAGTTACCTATCTGCACTAAGGTTGCCGTTCATCTGTTCTTTCAGGGAACTTTCAGATCCACACAGCTGGGGCTTAAATTCAAAATTAATTTGTCCTTGTCTAAGCCACATCAGAATATATATAAAGCACACTGCAATGGAAGGATCCAGGCACTAAAATTGGAACTCACCACTTCAGACTCAACAGCGGGGAAGTGGGAAAGAAGGAACACTGATTTACTCTCATCTGACTCGAAAGGGAGCAAGAGAAATGAAGTGAGATTTTATTCCACCATTAATTTACAATGCAGTCAGTCCTCAACTTATGACTATTCAACTTCTGACAAATGGCACTTATGACCTTTGTAAATTATAACATTGTTTCGAGGTTCTGATTGGGTTTCGACTTTACAATGCTGGACACAGCTGCCTCCGGTTGGTAAGTCTGTTGTGGTAGGTAATGGGGGGGCAGATCAACACCCCCACAGCAGGGGAGGGATTGGGGCTGGGGCAGGGATAGGGGCTGCCCAGCGGCTGGCGGGGGGCACGGGGAGGGTGTGAGGCAGCTCCCACTGCTGCGTGCTGCTGATCCGGGATGGGATGGAGGGGCATCTGCCCCCAGATCTGCATGGGGTGGGCAGGGCTGGGGCTGGGGCTATGCCAGGCTGCACTTTGGGTGGATGGTGGACGGTGCTGGGAGCAGGAGCTATGCCCTTCTGCTGCTCACCAAGCTGGGGCAAGGTGGAGCCACTGCATTGCCTCTGGACAAGCTGCTCTGGCTTCCCGCACCTCCTGGCCCTGCCCTGCCCAGCCCAGGCTGGGTGTGCAGCAGCAGGGCATTGGGGGAGCATGTGCCCCCAGATCTGCACAGGGTGGGCAGGGCCAGGGCTGTACCAAGCTGTGCTCTGGGCAGGTAGCAGGGGCTATGGGCAATTTTAGGGTGGCTGCAGCCCCCCCATATCACCCACTCCGCCACCCACCCCACACAGATCTGGGGGACACCCCCCATGCCCTGCCGCTGCCACCGCTCACCCAGTTGGGGTGGGGCAGGGAGAAGCTGCAGCTCATCTAGGAGGTGCAGGGAGGCCAGGGCAGCTCTGGCTGCTGCATACCATTTGTCCATAGGCAACACAGAGGCTCTGCTATGCCCTAGCTTGGCAAGTGGCAGGATGGCATAGCCTTCACTCCCAGCCCTGGCCCTGCCCACCCCTCACAGATCTGAGGGCACATGCCCCCCCATGTCTTCTTGGGCTGGTGGTGGGAGCAGTGGTGAGAGCCACCAGATGAGCCACCACATGAGCAGCTCTCAGACTGGCATCCCACAGCAGCAAGAGCTTCCCACCTCCTTGCTGCATCCCCCACACCAACTGGCCAGTCCTTGCCCCAGCTCCTGTCCTAGCCCCAGCCCCAGCCCCAAACCCTCCCTTGCTGCATGGGCGTTGTCCCCCCATCACAACAGACTTACCAGCTGGAGGCAGCTGTGTCAAATGTGGTAAAGGAACCAATCCCCCATTTATAACATTGTTCCTATGGGAAAACTGATTCCAACGTACGATGTTTTGACTTAAAGCACGGTTTTCAGAAACCAATTGCATCATAAGTCTGAGGACTGCCTATAGATATAATTTGGCTGTCCCCAAATTATTAATTAACCTGCTCGCAATGGGCCACAATTCTGAAACTTCATCTCTATTCTTATTATGGCAATGTGGAAGTTGTCACTAGATACTTAAATAACTAGATACCTAGGGGTACAGATAGAAATGCAGCTCCCAGCTGTAACTCAGAACCATTTCTGCAAAGTGTTCCGACTTACAACATTACCCCAGACCAAAGAGAAAATCACAGGCACAAAAAAAAAATCTAGTTAAGGCCAGAATAAAAATCAGCCCCAATATGTGACTCATAAATGCCAGATCAACAAACCTCATAATCTCCAGGGCCAGGAGTAATCTCTTTTGGTTCTTTAAAACGTTCCTCTCTGGAAGCAAACAGGGAAATGCCGGAAGCTGATTTCACAACAGGGTTGTATGTCCCAGGCCCTAAAAAGGGAAAAAAAATAGAGTATTATTTTAAAAAGTGATTTCTAAGCATCTTAGAATTCTGTATAGATGGCCTTGGTGTAGGTCAGAATGGTTGTATACCATGAATGTTAAGTGTACATTATCTTTTGTTCACTGTTTGTTCCTATGATGGGTGTGGGAAGAATCATTAGTTTAGCCAGATTCAGAAAGTGATTGGACAAATTATTGGAGGAAAGGTGCATCAGTAGCTGCAAGTGAGAAAGTGGAAAAAACCCTGGTCATACCCTGTTCACTCTCCCTTACAGCACCCATTTTGCCACTGTGACAAAGGATATCGATACTGGGCAAGATGGATCTATGGTCTGATCCAGTAAATGGCAGTTCTTATGTTCTTATCATAGTGTCCATGAATTTACTTTCCCACTTTCTCATATTCTGTAGTTTTCATACTGCTTCTATATTTAACTAAGGATAATGTGGATAAGTTGCTTTTTAAATAAAATCTTTAATTTTTCAAACAACAAATTTAATTCTTGGTTACATCAGTGTAAATCCTGCAAAAAGCCAATGAACTTTGACTTGCTTGGAATGTGCATCAGCCTCGCTTAGAGCAGAATTTGGCCAACTATATAAAGAAAAATAAGTGACCTCTCATTCTCTGAAACACTACCCAGCATTTCCTGAATTTCTGATAGCCAGGGCACACTTTTTCTGAATTAAAATTGGTGGCACATTTTTACACCTGAAAAAGGGAGCAAGGAAAAGTGGCAGCAGCAACACAAACACAGTTTGCCAATGTCTGGTCTCAGTTCTGTCGCTGCTTCTCCCAGCACCCCACTCCCTAACTGCAGTCCACATGCAACTTCCAGCTGCCAAGGAGCTGTGCTAGGATGAGACATCTGGAAATTCCTATTGAGGTGCCCTGCCTCCACCCCAAGGACATGGCTGCACCTCACTCTGCAGACATGCTATGACTCCCAGTTTAAACAAAAAAAAGAAAAGTACCATTTTGCGCGGCACACTTCCGCCACTCTGATGACACACAGGTATGCTCTTGCACACCCTTTGAAAATCCCTTTGAAAATCACTAAACTAGCCTAACACTGTGCTGCAGAACAACTCTGAGCAGTTTGGGTCAGTCAATCAGGACTGCCCTGTGCCCTGCTGCCATTTATCTCTGGGCAGACTAAGGGTGTGTGTAGATGACACGGGGCCCCTAAACTGAAGTGGTGGGTTTTAAAAAACATCACTTCAATTTAGGGCTGGTTAAAACCCTGTATCATGCATGCACCCTGCTGACTTACCTGCCTCTCCAGTGGGGACGGGATACTGAGCTGCCGGCGGGTGTAGCGGTCCCTGGGTTGTGTGTGTTGGGGTGGAACTGGTGCTTCCCTCTGCAGCAGTGGGGCTCCCCCCAACAGCACCCACCCACAGGTGGTCTCAGAGGGCATAGCAGCCATGGAGCAAACCACTGGTCCTCTATACTGTTCAGGCAGGCAGGCTCCAGGGGGCAGGAAAAAAAAAACGACCAGGCTTGTCACTTTTCTTGGGCAGAGCCTGATTTCCTGGGCTGCTGCCAGGCTGCTTGCAGGGCTTCCTGAAGAGCCCCTGCACTGCATGGAGCCTTGTGCTTTGTTCCTCAGCTGTAGGGGCAGCAAACTAAAACCCCTTGACTCCCAAGTCATTTAAGGTGCATTACGCCACTGAATTTCCTACAGCAGCTGGAATTAATGTGCAATATGCCACCAAGGCATGCAAACACTGACATCATTAATGCATTGCAAAAGCATTTAGCCCACTTTAAAGTGTCGTGCACACATGCCCCTCATTTTGTCTACACATGGCCTAAGAGTGCCTATAGAGCATGCTGAGGTATGTGTATAGGGATTCTCTGGCTACACAATAAGGTCTCCAACCTCTGTGCTCTTCAAGGGCTCAGCAGTCCATTCAGGCATCTACAGCTAAGTAGATGCACAGCTAAGTACAGGCGCACTCTGCTGGGCATGGCCGCCAGAGCCGGAGCTAGAGCTGGACGCTGCAGCCAGGGACGGGCTTACGGGCTCTGCAGGGGAGGGGAGGGATGAGAAGCTGTGGGCTCCAGCTCCAGCTCTGGCTCCAGCGGCCATGCCCAGCAGAGTGCAGCTGGCAGTGGCAGCAGGCAGCAGGGCTCGCAGCTCCTCATCCCTCCCCTCCCCTCCCCTGAAGAGCCCCCAAGCCCAGCAGAGCCCACGCTTGCGGCCATGTCTCGGCGTGTGGGGAATACATGGAGTATTTTACGAAAACACAATTTTCCACAGGTTATACATGGGTGCGGGTTATACAGGGGTGCATGCTATATGTGCGAAAATACTGTAAATGACCTCAGGAATTACTAAATTGCTTCTTTATTTCCTAATCCCCCAACATTTGTGCTTCCTTCTCAATGTGAGAAGTTAATTAATTATTGTTGGTGGACTGGTATTACTTGCAAAAAATCAGTATACAAAAATTTAAGTTTCCCAGTACCAGTGGATTTTAGGAGACATGCATAGCTACAGCAACTGCCCTGAAGAAATATGGTCAGTGGAAAGTTGAAAGGAAAACTGGATAATTCCCCTGTCACCTTCTGTTATTTCTTGTCTTACATTTAGAATGTAAGCTCTCTTTTTGTTCTGTGTTTGTAACACACCCTGGACACTTATACACACGCAGCTTTGCTGCTTCGACATGATATAATTACAGCACATCACAGCAGACTCAATTAATCAAGTCTGCTGGAGCATGGTAATTACCACGCTCCAGCAGACCCCAGCATCACATGGATCAGCATTCCTGCCCTGAAAAATGGTGGCAGAGGTGCTTTAACTAAAGCTTGTGACTGTGCTTTAGTTAAAGCACCCCCACCACCATTTTTCAGTGCAGGAATAATGATACATGTGACACTCTGGGTGCTTTAATTAGAGCAGCTTTTGGAGCCATTCTAATTAAAGTGACCCCCATGCCCACCCCACTCCCAGAGCACAGGTATAAATACCTAGTACCTTGACTAAGCTTCCAAAGCTTTAGTGCAACATGAAAAATACATAATGAGTGTCTTCTCCTTTCAGTAACCAGACAATGCACTCACATAGGGCTCTATCCTAACAACAGTAAAATCAATGGAAACAGAACTGGGCTCAGATCGCATTCTGAAACTCTGGCTAGTCTATGGCTAAGCTCTACTGGAACATGAATATGCACTATTCAGCTACAAAGGTCTACTCAGGTTAATAAAACATGAAACATGCTGATTCACAATAATACTGCTTTTGGAAAAAGTTTGTCTTGAGTCTTAATAATTATGTATATTTTTAATTAAGAAATAGGGTTTCTGGTCCTGCCATTTGTTACAGCAATTACTAATGTATTTACGTATATGGCTACAGCTATTTAAACTGTTGCAATTAATAACTTTGTGGCTCTAACCTTACTGTTATATTCTTAAGTCCTTCACAGGGTGTAGGCTTCACTTACCACACTGCCTGATATCGCTTATCTTTTCCTGTTCCTGCATTATGACTGCTTTGAGACACCTAACATTAAAAAGGTTTACTGTACTATATAATTTTTATCATAGAATATATGTCCCATTGCATATGCCGCTATCTATGTGATACAGGTCAAAGGCATGCATTACCTCTCTTAGCCCCAGTTCAGAGCTGAAATATGCAGAAGCCATCTTCTATTTATTTCCCAAAATGCCACATTTTAATCACAGGTCAACACAGAATAAAACTTCTCATTACAAATCAAACATCTATGAAAAGTCTGCCTGTATCATGATTGGTATGTAATGGGAAAATCAAGAGCAGGTGATTCTTATAATTATATATTTTCCAGCCCTATGCTGGCTCATTCTCTATGAAATGTCAAGCAATGCTACAGGGCAAAAATAGCAGCGAACAGGTGCAATGGGTAATTTAAAATGAAAATCTGTACTGTTGCCCCTCACTCTGAGTATTTCAGTATATTAGGAAAGGACTGAAAATGACTGCTTTTGAAAATAAGATTTTTAAAATCCAAACCTAGATCAGAAGCATGAATTTTCCTTTGTTATGAGTAGAGAACTTATGACTCATACTCTGCTCACTTGCTTCTCAACATTACTGGTAGCTGCTGCTACAGTAGCTTATATTGACTTAGAAAAAAAATCTACTAATAAGGATCTGAAATCTGAGGAGTGAAATGATATGCTGGACAATGTGCAATGAAAGTGGAAAAGCTTGCTTTGAGAGGTTATGTTCATGATGTGTAAACTGTGGTTTTCATTTTTTTCCTCGAATCAAATAGCAGTAAAGAGACAAATCAGCACATTGAGAAATATTATTACTACCACTGTCCAAGAAATATCAGACATAATATTCTTCTGAGGGTACTAAAACTCATTTTGTTTTAAATGATACTTAAGGTTATAGCTAAATAAATGCACAGACCATTCAATCTGCCAGTTTGGTAAACAATATGCATGTAAACATATGGATAGTAAATTCCATAAAACTTATCAAAATAGTCCTGTATTTTGTTAAAATGTGAAACAAGGAGGTATACCACACAGGGGCTGAAAACAAAAGCAAAGCTATGTCCAGCAGGACTTTACTGGACCTGTGTAACCTGAAGAAATATTGTATCTAATAAGTAAAGGACCTCAGAATTATTTCAGAGCCCTCTGCAGTCAAGATCCTAGCTGATACTTATCAGTTCAATATGTATCAGTTATTCATAAAATTCAAGTAAAAAGAGACTTCAGTATTTGATAAAAATAGTTTCAACATTTCACAAAAAAATACAAATATACTGCACTTTTCTGAAAAGCTTAAAAATATATATACTTAAATATAAAGCCTTCCATTGGGTTTGTCACAACTAGGAAACTCTGCTACTATGTAGGCAACTTTGTTCAAAAATACTGTTAGGATTCCCATCATTAAAATGGAATATTAAAAGCCATCAGATTTCATGTCGTTAGATTGTTCTGCCTCAAGAGGCATTCACTTGTATAC